AGATAGCCTCGTAGTAATAAATAATGAATCAAAGCACAGTAATGAAAATATACCTAATCCCACTAATGATCAGTCGCTTCCTATAACGATACAAGAGAGTCGAGTGTAGATAAAGTATATAGACTTATATTTATTTTTAGTGAGTTGGAATCTTTTTTAATTAGATGTTAGAGCATTATGAATGATTTTATTTTATTATTATTATTATTTTTTTTGACCTTACAAACTTTTTGATTTTTTGAACTAATACTAATGTTTAATTCCTTATTCTAAAAATTTCTAATGTGTAAAATTGTAGTTGAAGTTCTAAAATTTGATCATTGTTTTGAATCACTCACTATCTTAATAATTTGTGCACTGATAAAACTTTGCAAATCAAATTCAATATTGCCATGTTATCGATAACTCGTTTTAAATAAACGACTCCTTGAATTAAAACGAATGCATTTTATTTGACTTGATTTGCATGACAGGCAGATGACTCGAGTAAAAAAAAAACGCTACAATTTTTACCTTAGAAATCTCACGGCCGGAATTACATGGTGCCAGCAACACATTAATTATCGTGAATCACAGATGAAGATGTGTAACCTTGATAAAAATTTTTATTCTCAATCTTCACAACATACGTTCATAACATAACAAAAGAAATAACAAATAAAAATCAAAAATAAGAATGCTATCAAGTCTTAGGTAAGTGATTTCTTCTCGTTACGTTGGTAGGGCATTCAAACAATCGACCCTGGCAATGGGATCACACTTCATTTTTTCCGCAAAAGTAGAGCGTCTCGTATTCGGCGTAGCATATCGGTTTTGCAGCATTTGAGAGAATTTCACACCCCTAAACCAATACGTGCATCCGAACACCCGACGCCGAATAGAATAAAACGGAGGCATACAACCGAACCCCTGGTGGTAACGTCGCCAAGAGGATTTTTTGCTGAAGAGGTTTTTAGGGATACCACGAAAAGGATCACACCAGAAGAGGCGGCTGTGAGGGAAATCGAAAAAATGAAGTCAAATGAACGCGTTGTGTTGAACGTGGGCGGACAAAAGGTAAAAATGGGTCAACGTGCGTCAAGATCACACCGTGTATGCACTCTAATCGTATTACGTCGAAATCATTTATCCAGTTTGAAACGTATCGTTCCACGCTCACAGCCTATCCGAACACTCTACTCGGAAAAATATTCAGTGAGGAACAAGAGAACATATTAAGCGAAGTGGAAGAAATTTTCTTTGACCGAGATTACAATGTTTTCAAGTACATTATGCAATTCTATCGCAATGGAAGGATAACCTGGCCGTCCAGCCCAACCGAACCTTCAGTTGACGACATTTATCGCGAATTAGCATTTTTCAAGATCGAGCTTCGCAAGGGTCATGCACAAATAATTGAAGCGGCCACATTCAGAGTGGATAGTTTTATTGATATGATCTTGGAAGCAATCTTTGAGGCCCGCGTGGATTTCAAGAAAAAACTCGAAATCACGTTCTACCGATCGGGTGATTTGCCTGCCAAAGTGTCGCCGGCCATCCCAGTCATCGAAAGATTGGTGACGGAATATAGTCATATTGGTTACGGCATTATAGACGCACGAAATTATAAACTTGCTAGGTTTGTGACTTGTCATCCCGAAGTGGCTCAAGGTGGATTGAGATTTGAAATCGTTCACGAACCAGGACCACCGAGCAGTTATCGAATTATAGTAGAGGCATACCAACTTATTCAACCTCAAGCAATGCACAATTCGGCTTTGACTTTTCAAGGTGAAAAAAAGCCTAGAGAAAGTCAAAAGTTGGATGAGGTTGAGATCGAGAATGAGAACGGGGACGAGGTGAGGTCTGAGGTCTAAGACGTAAAAAAACAAAAGGACATGCAACAATTTCGTCGAAATATTTTCTTTTTTTATGATGATAAAGAAAATGGCAACATTTGATTTTTCAAAATTTCAAGGTCCAAACATCTTTTCTTAACAGTAGGATAGAAAAATAATGATTATTCAAACACACGTAATAATGTCTTAATTGATAACACGCGCGCTTACGGGTGGCCGCTCATTCACTGAATCCATGCACAAATAGAAACACTTTACCAAAAAATCGAATTGACTATTGGCAGAGCTCAGCCAATCTTGACGCTTAGTGACGCGATATTTTGCACGCCTTATCCTTAATCGGTCAAAGGGTCGATGTTCCAATGTATAGAACTTTCTGAGAATATAAAATAAAATAAACCTAATTTCCAATAAAAAGTGCGTGTCATTCATTTTTACGGCGTCGTGTCGCGCACTTGAACAAACCTGCATGATGATGATTAGGTGATTAACAAGGATGCCGCCCGTATTGTCCATTCATGAAGTTCCATAAAGATTTTGCGATTTTGCGATTACTCATTGCAGAACCTTTTTCGCTCAAAGTCAAGGGATACGAAGATCGGATAAGGATTATGATTTACTCAATCGTTTCACGTGATGTTCTCTTTTCTATCGTGATTTTTGAGAATCATCACAATTGTTGGAAAAAAAGAAAATAGAATAGAATAGAAAAAAGAGAAGAAAGAAAACAATGTATCTAAATATGTAAGGTACCATCAGGTCGATCAACGATTGTGCTAATGCTAAATGTATTAATGTATAGAAAGTATTCATGGAAACGGGGCGGAGGCAATTTTCCACATAAGCGGCAAACAGGCGGAAGTGTAATTTGTATGGCGGAATGCATAAAAGTAGGTAATACAAAGGTCGGAGTACCGATCGGCATATCCGAAACAAATCGGCGGTCGCACGTCGATGCCGCTTTAACACGGGCGGATGCCGTCAAGTTCAAAAAGAAAAGAAAAAGATACTCCGATAATTGGCAATTATCTTGAAATAAGCTTGGTGAGGTCACATCGATCCTACCAAAAAGGTAATTACTTGACGCGCCGGTCATTTTTTTCAAAGAATGATAAGTGCGCACCTAGTCCAAGATACAAAAGGAGGTGCGAAACCAGATGATGGGGGTCAAGGGTATCCTGAAACGCGGTAGAATTTGTTTGTTTGATGTCTCTTTTTTAATTTACAGGAAATCGCGTGATTTTGTTTGCTCATTAACATATTTATCCGTAGGTAAGTTTTGGGATCACGTGATTGACAATATCTTCGTTAATTGGCATTGAAGGATTCGATGTGCCCCGAGTAGACGCATCAAAAATTAGGCAAACAAAAGCCTTTGTAGCGAAATAAAAAAAAACAACAACCAAAATTCTTTACGTGATTTGGCTCAAGAAAGATCATTTTGGAATCCCGTCGTCAACATGATAAGTGTAGTGTCGCGATGCCCAGAACGATTATCACTTGGCATGGCTGAGCTTTAGAAAAGACCAAGCCTCTCGCACACAAACACAGCCACACATCTCAAGTCACCTAGTTTATTTTACACGGCGTAATGGCAAAAAACAGTTTCCACCGTTCATTATTATCATTTATTATTACATACAGTATGTCTATGTCTTTGGTCTTTTGTGGAGGACCGATGTTTTACCCATTTGTCAATGAAAGTACCGTGGGTGGATAAACGTTTTCGCCCATTCATGGGTATCATTTTCATTGCATGTTCGGGGTAAACTTTTAACAATTCGACCTTCTTAAAATAACGATCGCACACTTGTTGCAAATAAATAAAACTCGGCAACTGTAATACATACGGCATATTAAGTACAGTATACTGTATGCATAAATTTGACCAATCGTTGAAGCCTACTTTCCAAAAATGACTCTCAGGAAAGAAATTTAAAAGAATTCTTTGGACCAAACAATTTCGAATCAAGATGCGGGCTTTTGAATTTATTTATTATTGACAGAAAGCCGAATGGTTAGATGTGCGCATCTACAAAAAAAAATCTCACTCCAATCTTCTTTAATCTCGAGGAACTGAACATGCCGAAGTAGATAAACAACGAATTTTCAATATACCGGGACTTTGCCGTGTTTTGCGATCTCGGTTCATGTAACATATACGCCAAATCATTTCGGATGCCCGTGGATCTTGGAACTAATAGGAAAATACACACATTTTTTTTCATTGCCACACTAATGGATGTACACCTTATTGAGGTTGCACGAGGAGTTAAACTCCGTCGCGTGACTTTTTGTTATGATAAATAATAGAATTATTCAGGAAAGGAAAGTTTGAACGTGGAAGATTCACTGGACACGAGTTCTTATCATGAGTCATATGGGCAAGCTTTAAGGGCAAGCATCGAACACATTCGACCCAACATGTAAAAAAGCCTTGAAAGCCATTGATTGTTTGAGACATGTTACAGGATTAAATTAATGGTAATTACGTAATTGCAGGTTCTGTGGTTAAACCATTAATTATTATAAAAGCAGGAATCAAATCGTTTTCATGCTATGCCACTATGCCTGACCCGAAAGAGAAATCACAATGAGGCGTGTGATGTGCAGATTGATGAGGCACATAATTTGACAGAAAATGAACATCCGAAAATCTAGTAGAGCACATGGATCGAACGATCTCTGACAGTCTGTTCGTCAACTCATATTAAGGCATGATTCGGATAGTGACATCACACCACATGTGGAACCGCAAGGAAACGACGACAAAGACATTACCACACGCGTACTTTGTGACAGATCAACTATGGAAAATCTCAATCATGTGATTGGCACTAAAGCGTGAGATCAAAGACGTTCTATGTGCTGCACATTTCAGCATTACCGAAAAAAAAGAGGTTTGTATGTCTTGCTTGGAGCACAAAAAGAAAACCGCCCTTTTAAAGTAATTAGCATACACACATGTTTGGTACACGTGAGAAATGGAAACTCCAGAAAATTGATGAATTTTCAAATTCATAAAGTCCAAATAAACAATGAATCAATTTTGTATTCATGTTTTCGCGCAAACGTGAACATAAGGCCACGACCTTTTTGTTACTGTGGTTCGTTCTTTCGGCGCACGGATCCCATCATTATTATATTACACTTATCTTTATCCAGCCAACTTGTTTTCCATTTCTGGTAGTATATGGATAAATTTTTACGCTAGACAATCGAAATCATTCAAGCTCACCTGTTTTCTTGTTTTGATTTTCGATTAGTAAAGAAATCGGCTGAATCGAGCGTTTTTAAATATTTTTTTTAGGGCATTGCCGACATGAGCCAAGCGTCGAAGGAAATTCTGGCAATCTGATCGATTTCATCAGATAAAACACTCGCCATGTGAAACCGAGCTAGGCAATTTATGCATCAGCAAGGATGGCTTTTTTTTTTAAAAAAAATTTATTCTTAATTTAAATTATTTTGATCAAGTTACGTATACAGCATTTACCACGGTTTTTTTTGTTTTTTTTATGTACTGTATATACTAACAATGTACTTTGTCTGAATATGTGTACCAATATAAAATAAATTATATTTATTATGCCGGATAGTGTACTCCGAATTTGATCTGCATATGTTACACGAGTAAATAAAATCGTATTCAAGTGCTAAATGTATATATAGACCTTTTTTTTTTTAAAAAAATTCACTTTTGCTGGAGGCGACTTCACACATAGGATAGTAATCGATAATTTAGATATATGTACAAAATAACTTGCTCTCCATTAATAACATTCGCCAACGTACAGGAAACATAATACTCAGCACACAAAGTCACATACACTACACGAAATTGCCAAACTTTTTTTCTACATTGGATTCAACACTCTTTTAACATTCCTTTTTTTTTCTTTTGCTGAATATCATGACTAATAAATCTTTCATTACCGTCACCCCCAAATCCTCCCCTTCAACCAATCGAACCAAAAATTCTCGTAAAACACGCGTGACCCATGCACGTGTCCAGAAAGTAAAAGTTACCACGTTGGGAAGAGCATCGTGTGTATCGGAAAAGCAACCATTTAGAACTTGTGTCAGATGTAAAGAAAGTTCCAATAATGTGAAAATGTTGTCGGCACGGGTGGAAAGAATTGAGCAATTGGTCAGTGAGCTAGCGAATACAACTGCGAATTTTTCAAAGGTACATACATAAAAAAAATATATGTGTGTCTAGAATATATACATATATGTATCACTTTATTATCATCATTTTTTATTTTCTTGGCAAAAGCTAAAGTCAAGCGACATAGTTCTAACATCGTTTTATTATAACCCATGCGCGATTAACGCGAAAAAATAATTTATATCTCCAACTTTTGTCGCGGTTGAAAATTTGCCAAAAAAATAAAAAAGCGCAATGAAAGCTATTCTTCGCAGAACACTACTTGGAGGTTTGGAAATATTGATCTGAAGGCTTGTAGTCTCGAAGAATTACAAAAACTCGTGATCAGCACTACTACAAGCATGATGCCTCCTCCCCTTAAACCCACCATCACCGATAATTTTTGTTCTGAACCATCGGAGCTCCCACAGTTTTCTGGCGTCGCATCCACAAAGAAAACAGCTTCGTCAAATTTGGATTATACGTTGCGTAAAGATTCTGGATTCGCGGAAACCAAATCTTCCGATATTGAAATCGGAATTCAACATAATAATAATGCCACAAATTAACTTTAATTGTCACTTTGTATCACGCATATGTTTTTTCTCCTTCAACGATTTCTCCGTTCAAAGAACATTTCAAACTCTCTTGGACTGTACCGTTAATGGAATACTTGTCAAACCTTCTGACCACAACATTGTTTTTGCTCACCTGTCAAAATTTCTTATAAATCAACACAATATGCAATTACGATTTTCCAATAACTTTATAAACTGTAAGAACTTTGATGAGTTATCCAACATTATCCTATCAATTAAAGATATAATAAAAATTCTATGTATTACGTTTCTTGATATTTTTATTAATAAAGAGAGAGAGAAGGTTTCATTATTATTATGCAAGTGCACGAATATTTTGTTAATTCAACCATTCCTGTTCATCTCGCCCCTCGATAACTTTTTCCCTGAGAAACTTCTCCTCAACCCTCCCCAATGGTTAATTCGAAACCCACGGAATTTCTGAGGCACAATTCCGGAATGCATGGACACAAATATCAGGTGTGCGAAAAGAATAAACACCGTCTCACCGGTGGACTGAGTTGATTAGTATAAGTTTGGTAGGTTAAAAAAAGAATGTGTACCTCTTTCAAAGAAAGAAAATAACAAAAATAGGACAATGTCTTTTACGGACATTGACTACGTGCACAGCAGGGGAGATTCACATGAATGGCAAGCAAATATAATGAAGAAGGTAATGTAGAAGGAGCTATTCACGAGTGACATAATGGCAGAGATCACGTCAATACCAAATTCATCGATCGGGCATATTTTTGGGAAATCCTGTTCATACAAAATATCCATTTAAACTCGAGACGAATGATGCCCATCAATCCTGTAACGTTCCTCAAAACTCCAAAGATATCACCTCAATCACAGAATATCTCCTCCGTTTGTCTTTCTTCTTTCACAGCATTATCAATCAGGTTCATCTCAAAAAAAAAAAAAAAAAAGATTTTTTTCATAAATCAGATCTTTTACAAATATGTTCACACAATGTGTCAGCATTCCAAGTTTGCGATTTTGCGATTTATCTGATTTTGTGATGGAACTTTCCAAGTTTTCTCCTTGTGCGGGGGTTGCGTGTATTGAAAGTTTCGACTGTAAATTTTGGCAACATGACATTGTCCCACAGTTTCACCGTGTTCTACAAGTCAGGAAGGCTCATTCAATGTATCAATTAATCGAAATCATTCGTGAAGATGCAGTGTGTATGATTGTTTTAGTTTCTTTGGCGTCGCGGTATTTGTCGTATCATAATTCCGGCACTGATTCAATCGCGTTGGTTTGAGACACAATGTAACCAGTCGTAACCACCCACATCGCGACTAAAATTTGCAACGAACTATCTAGAGAGTGCGAACCCCATTTGTCAAGGCAATGTTCGTTCATCCTCAGAATTCCATACAGTACTTCCCAATGCGCATTATCATTCAATCAAATATCAAATCTGCAAGTTTGATACTCTTGGATTTAAGTTATCGATTGGTCGTGCTAGTATGTGGTCGAAAAAAATATTTGCAAACAATTACTTTCCTCTCGGATTTTGCGCTCCAAAACCATTTGCACAATCATCAGTACACGGAATTATAATTCCGACATACTCTTTTGGTACGTCCCCGAATTCTTTGTCACACTTTATTTAGCCAATTTTGGATGCAAATTCCGGAGATTTGTGTGTGTGTAAATCGGAAATTTTCAATTGACCATGATCCGGATATTATAGACTTTTTTGGTGATCTCAGCGTTGGGGCTTTGTGCAACTCCCCGCCTCCTACCAGCCGCCTTCTTAATTGGCGAGGATAGCTGTTTGTCCAAGTATGTATTTGTTTTTTGGATTTTTTTTTCCCTAGGGTCTTCACCGGAAAATTTGTTTTTTTTTACGCATTCGGTCGCCTTCATGCACGTGGGTTTTCCACTAGCCATATAGCACGAATGCAATACATCGTGCCACAAATCTCCCGCCATTTTTGTCCAAATAAGGAAGTGGAACAAATGACCATGCTGGAAAATTTGTAAAACTCCGAAAAATGACGAGACCACGGATTAATTCATGAATCCCGGGGATTGTTTAGCGAGGATATTCCATTTTTGTCCAAATCTAATTAATTCGGCATGGGAATGATGATACATCAATGGCAAACAATAACAGCGTGAGAAATTACTTTCTCGACGGCATAATGCGTTCGTAAACAAAATTTTGAATTGGATCACCGGTTAATCATACACCAGGATATCCGGAGATTGCATCGCGACGCGTGAAATTTGTCTAATCAGGAAAACAAAGAAACATCTCTGGAGAAATTGGGATCTCTCGGTGATATACAATCAACGCAACAACAATTTGTTGTTGATGCTTCCTCAAACAAAAAAAAACCATGACACTCGCCACTGATCACGTGAAATCACGCGCCACCCACATGATGCTTGATATACTGTTATACCATATACCGTGATACTTTATGATCTGTAATTAACTGATATTACATTCTGATAATAGTGACAACGATATATTGTTTGGTGTCTCAATCACCGGCGCCATTTTACGACATAATAGTTTAAGGTATTTTTTTATTTTGCACTAATCCGGATTATGGATTCTATGAAAACATGTACAATATTTCACTCTTGATATTATATTTGGATTTTCGAAGGTGGACAATAATCACTTGGTCCCTCAAAAAAATTTTTTTTTATTTTGAAATTTAAATCTTACGTTTGTTTAAATGATATTAAAACCAAAAATGTATTAATCAATTAAAAAACTGTTAAAAACAATTTTCATAAAACAATTTTCATAAAAATTTGACAATAGAAGTAATATCTACAGTATTTATAACATTTTAATACTGTATATTCAATCTCTTTTATGAAAATTTTCAAAATAACAAAGTATGTTGGCTTTTCTAAAATAATATATGGTTTTTTTTTTTATAAACAAAAAAACTTCAATCTAAATACAATATATGAGAAACAAACAAACAAAATCCATTATATTTGCAGATTCTTGTATGTTAATTTTTTATTTTTATTATAATAATTATCACACTTTTACTTACTTATATCATATTAAATAACTCCTTGATTTTAATAATAATTATTATAATAATAACATATATTAGCAAAATTCAAATATAAATTTTATAAAATACTTGTATACCTTCTTATATTAATATTTATTATAATAATAATTTATTAATTTAATATGATTTTATTTAACAATAACATTAAAATAAATAATAAATAAATAAAAACAATTTTGTTATTGATTAAATTTGTTATATATTAATTTAATTTAATTTTTTTTTTTTATATGAATGAGCATTAAATGTATAATATTTATTAAACTTTTAGTTTATAGTCAGTATATTAAGAATCCTACATTACTTATTTGTGGAAGTTAATCCTAACCTATTATATTTTTACTCAAATATTAACTTATATCTTATAGGTATATCCATATTCAGGTTTAATTGAAGAATAAGATATAAATAATTTGATATAATGAAAAAAATCAGATTTTGAATATACTGAATCTGAAAATCAATTTATTATTATAATATGGCCTATGAATTTTTTCCATATTAGGGACCTTGAACCCAATTTGATATAATCATTTTGCATTGATCTTTTGAAAAAGTAAACTGACCATAGTTTTTGGTGTAAATAGGAATTGGGAAAATAAACAAGAAGACTAATTCCATGAAAATTCTTCTTAAGTATATATAAATAATAGTAATGTCAAGTATTCAGAATGAAAGTACTTGTCTAATATATACTTTTGATCAAATATTAATTTAATTTTAAATAATAATAATAATAAATTTTAAATATAAAATTTATATTGCATATAGTTTTATATAAGGTTTCAAAAAGTATTAAATCAATATTAAAGTAGTATTAAAATGATATCGATCTATATAAATTTAATATATGGATTGTGATCCATTTATATGAATTTATAATAAATTTAAGTATCAAATTAATATTAAACAAGTATCGAAATAGTATCATTAGAAGTTCTAGTTTTGTACAATATTTTTAATTTATTACTTTTAAAACTTTTTCTATTATACTGTATATATAATATATAACAAAAAACTTGTTAATTTATAGAATTAAAGTTATATATATATAATTTATCTATTTTTAACAAAATTTATATAGATTTTAAACAAAATAAAAATTATATTATCTGTTTAAAAAATCTTGTTTGCAAAATTACTTTTGCTTATTAGATTTTATATACTTTGTATTATAATAAATAAAATAATTAATAAAAAAATCAAGCAAAACTTGTTTTTTTTTTTTTTTTTAATTAGCTAAATGAGACTTTACTTTAGTCTTTATTAATATAGTTGGTTTTTTATATATATTACATATATCTAAAGATTAGAACTATACTATACTAATAATTATATTAACTAGAATTCACCTACAAATAACTTTGATCATCCAGATTAAGTCTGCTATCATTATTTTATATCTGATACTTCTTATAACTCTAAATCCCATTTAACTCTATTTTAATTCTATTTATTGCCTATTGTAATCCTATTCATTATATATTGTACTACTGTAACCTATTGCGGCTCATAAAAATCTTATAGAGATAAACCTTAAAAAAAGACATCATGTATTTCAGGAAAGATTGTCACATCAACATGTTCTATTTTGGATATTTCATATATTTTTTTATTTTTCAGTAATCATTATAATACCAACCGGATGATCGTCACATCACGACATCTTTTTTGGAGATCATATTTTTGATGTCTATTTGGATCAACATGTAAATTAGCTTAAATAGTGTTTGACAGATCATAATATTGGATATCATATTTAAAGATGTGTCCCGAAATTCATATATTATGTCCTATAATTAAAATTTTTATAACCGAAATTGAATTATGTTCTTCTAAGAATTTA